AGAGTACGCTGGCATATATCACAGGACTGACAAAACCGTCGGATGTCACTCTTGAGTCCTGGCCAGAAAAACTCTGAGTTAACCCTGGTTATTGTCCGCTGAATACCTAGATGTCCTGCTAATAAAGAATCATGCGCTAACTTCATGACTAATGGGCGAAATTTCTCTGGAACTACTAGCTGAGAAAATACCTTATTGACGCTGTCATCGTTCGCTACAAATTCTTTATAAAGCAATCCATTCTTTTTATACCATTTAACCTTACCGTTTTTCTTCTGATGAACAGTATTGTGCTCTGCAAAACCCCTTATCTTGGAAAGTATTGAATCCTCCTCTTGATCAGTCTTGATGCAGTGTGGTTCTATTACGTCTGTAATTATGTCGGGTACCTTTAGAGGTGGATAAGGTTTCTCTCTGTTCCGCTTCTGCTGTCTAGTTTCTACTGCGTTGACTTGCCAATTCTCGTCTACTTTGTCTGGAAGTTTTGCATCTGTAATATTTCCTATTATCAAATCATACACTGGATTTTCAATACACCATACCTTGTGATAACCACTTAAATAGGGAGTATCAATGAATACTTGCGCCACAGGAACTGTAATTTTAGATCAGTCAGCTAAGACACACACCTGCTGCTTACCCTTTATAAGATCTTTCTCACTAACCTTGGATTTCCGGACAACAATTCCACTGCAACCAGTATCCCTCAAAACCGTCACAGGATTCCCGTTAATATAGCCCGAGGAAATAGGCATGGAAATGTAGTTTGCAGACTTCGTACAAGCAGAAGTAAGTGTAGACGGCGATATCTTCACCATCGAATCTACTATAGAATCTGAAGGTAATGTACTTACAAAACAGACTGGTTTGCCTTCTTTCTGTGCAGCGGATGATTTTCCTTCAGATCGTACTTCAGATACACTACCAACAAACGTTTTAGCTTTACATTCTGAAGCAATATGCCCTACTCTGTTACACTTAAAGCATCTTCTATCTGATCTAGGTACAAACTTACCAGTATTTGTTGTTTTACTATGTATATTGTCTTTGTTCTGAGAACTGTTGCATGTTTTCTTGATTGGTTCTAGTTTCTTCTGTAATAAACCCCTACCTTTATCTACTGTCTGGATTGAGCTCAAGTTTCTAGCATCTTTGTATTGGTCTGCAAGATCTGCCATTTTCTGAAGACTCTCTGGAATTCGTTCTTTCAGAAATAAACGTAGATCTTGACTACAAATATGTAAAAACTGGTCACGCAACATGAGATCGTACAAACCCTGAAATGTTTTTGGTGCTTTTGCCATTTCTATCCATCTATCAAAATAGCTACTTAGGCGAACTGCAAATTGAGCAAAAGTTTCTAACTGATCAGGTCTACAAGATCTAAACTTTTTCTTGAATCCGTCATCTGTCAGTTCAAATCGTCTAAGTAGAGCTTTTTTTCAAATTCCTATAGTCTAAGGCCTCACTTTTGGGCATTAACGAATAAACATCTAGAGCTTTACCCCGTAATAGTGCACTTAAATTAACAGCCCAATTCTCTTCACCCCATTTTTGTGCTTCTGCATACCTTTCGAAACGGAGAAGGAAACTGTCCATGCCATCGTGAAGTTCATTAAATACAGGAAGCTTTGGGGCTTTAGGTGTAACTCGACCTTGACTGTGATCAGATTGCACATCTTTGCCAGTATTTACTACCTGCGTTTCAAACTCTTTCTCAACTTTCATCTGCTCAATCTCATACCAATACCTCTCCTTCTCTAACTCTAATGACACTTTCTCTTTCTCTGCCTCACAATCTAGTCTTTTCTTTTCTAATTCTCTCTCCGCATTTCTCTCGTCTCTCTGAATAGCTTGTTGTTCTCTAATGAAAGTTGTTAACTGTTCATCTTTCAACCCTAAGGACTCTCCATATTCTTTTAGAATGTCCATTTTCTTATATTGATTTGAAAGTGAGTTAAATGACCAAAACCTCACATCACATTGGACACAATAGATAGTTAGTTTTGAACTTACTATACAATACCCATGGCAAACAATTTGGATGCTAATATGGTCCAACTTACTGAGACATTGCCGACTTTTGGAAACACTTCTCAGAGGTCTCAAACATCCAGAACCGGACAATTCTTCTACAAAACAGGTAAAATGATCACACAACAGAAACAAAATAACAAATGCAAAAACTAATCTTGTAGGTAACATAAATGTCAAATAATTTGTAATACTTCTATCGATAGAAATTGAAAACAAAATTTGATTTTTTTACAATGACTAGATACGAGTATGGATCGACTATCCCTCTCTTATCCCACTTCTGACACCATTTTGTCAAATAATGACCTTGCGTAGAGAATAGTGATCCAAACTCCTCTTTGATAAATAACAGAAAATCTTTTCTACATTTAAACTTTACATTTTAATTAACAAAATATTATACAACAAAATAAACTGCTTTGGTGTGTGGTCGTCCGTGTCCCTCGAATGCCGGTAGTCTATGATTCCAAACGGTGTTTGGGTTACACAACTGTCTCTTGCCGCTAAGGAGGCTCAGACACCCCTCTCCAGTGCGAAGAGATTACACTCCCCCCTCTCCAGTACCGAGGAGGTTACACGTCCGTCTTGCGTTCAAGACAACGAGATGTGACTGGTACGGGCCGCCATCTCTACACTACTACACAGGAATGATCAATGAGACCTGTTAAATATCATATACAGGATAATGTAGACATACAATTTACGCTGTGAAACGTTACATTGCAATATGTACAATGCAGTAAATGCTATACTTCTCAACAGTTATTACGAAACGTAGAACCGACAAATAAAGATAAAACAAGCCACCGTACATTTACAACTCACGCAGTTTCAAACACAATGTAACTATAAATAACACAACTTAAAAGTATGAAATAGAATAGCTTAAAGTTGCATTTTTTTTAGAATTTCCGTATCTGGGTGCTTTAAGATATTTACAACTTATAAAATAATAAAAACAAACGCAAATAAGGCTTACCTCAGAGAAGCAGGACCATACCATAAATTCTAAATAAGGGCTGAGTTGAAATACCCTCAATGGTGTGCCATGTGTATAATACAAATCAAATATATAAATCTGGAGAAGTTTTGAAAACGTCCTTCTACCTGGACTGCCGTGTCCAAACTGAAGCACGGGCTCACCAATATTTTAAAGGTCCGGTGATTTGAGGTATAAAACGGGGTTAAATGAACCCAGTGAAAAATGGAGGCTCCCCACAGGTGAAAACAAATTACTTGCGTGTTAGATTAGGAGATTTTAAATGTGACACTTATACATTTATTCATTGGCTCTCTTCCTAAGTGCTGATTAGTGAAAAACCCAAATAACAAATGCAGACCTGCCTACCCTTCCGCTTTTGGCGTAATTCTTCCGCTTCTTACCACAAATTTACGCTATTACGCCACTTATATTAATTTTACCTTTTTGATATTTTGGTTTAAAATCCACTTTGAACGTCTAAATTTAGAGACAAAGCATGGCCTGTTGAAATGAAATTAAAACTTCTAGTAAAAGTAATTGATAGATGACCAGTTCGTAAACGAACGCAATATATCTAGTAGTTATATGCAAACTGGTATGGCGAAGATTCAGAAGAAAACGAGAAGGCACTACTTACGTAAACTATTATATGATATTGCAATAAGTACAGCCATTTCTATGCTCAGTTTTGTTTATTTAAACATTGCTTGGAACAAGATAGAGAAATTTGTGTGTTAATAAAATAAAATAAAGTGTTATTATGTACGATTTGTGTAAACATGCAAACGCAAGCCTTCAATGAAGTGATTTGATACAAATTGACCAAATGCTTCATTACGGGTGTACGGTTTTTTCGAGTTTAATATAGGATACTGGTATTTTACAACACTTTTTTTGGCCAATAGACGATTCGAAAAAAAGTTTTTTTCCCAACTTTGTTTAGAAATGTACGATTTCGGTTGTTATGAAAGAAAATAAAGTGTTATAGTAAATACAACAAAATAGGAAACATGATTGATTACGCTTTTACCCCTGAAATTCCTTCAAAAATTTACTGAAATTATACCCTTGCAATGAAAAGGTAAGGCTGGTCTGCAAATGCATGACAATGGGTTACTAAGTATTACGCAAAGGAATAAAAAATTGCCGTCAAATAAAATCGTAGTACGTGAAGGCGTAGCCAATAAGATTGAATCGGTATAGCCTTTTATTTTGTAGTACAAGTTAAAGTTTACAGAATACGTGGACGAGTTTTTGTGTTTCTTTGTGTCTTTGACTCTATCCCCTGCCAATCAGCTTTAAAAAATCAGCCAATGAAACGAGATGTTGTTTTGCACCGATGAGAATGTTTGATTCAAATAAAGAGCGAAAAGAAGCACTTTGGTGCAATGCATCCTATTACTACCCACCACAATTACAATCACTGTTATATAAAGGGGACATGAGCTATTTTATACGTTAAATACGTAAACTGTACAATAGTATCAAGCTAACATAACATTTCCCCTTTACGCTCAATAACACAGTCCACTTCGTTATGTCAAACTTAAAAAAGACAAATTATCGACCAGTTCAAATTGTTTTCATCTAAAACCATGACCGGAAGTTTCAAAGATCTACTATTACATTCATTATTAGCGAATTTTGCAGGAGAAAACATCATAGAAATTGTAATTGTAATTCTGGTAACCATTGAAATAACAGAGATTACCAATATGGCAATTCAATGCACATCTTTTCCTTTGGTGGTTAGCTTTGACATAAGCGCTGAACTTTTTAATGTCATTGATTCCATAAACAGACAACACATGGCGGTAGAGCTTGAAAAGTTAGCTGGCTCTTTTTTTGTGTACTCGACTAAATGTAGTCATGTTTTTGAGATTGTGTTACGTCTTAGTGAATTTTTCATGGATATTTTGATTATGTTGCACATATTACAGTGCGATATATTAATTGGTCCTTTTATGTAATATAATTTTAGCAAATTGGCCTCCTTACCGGTTTCGTCAATTCTACTTAGATGTGTCTAACTCGTCAGCAGATGTAACTTCTACATCACAAAGAATACGCTGTTACAAGGACGAAACTGAAGAACCAGATGTGCCCCCAGCTTTCATAGACATTTCTTGTAGGCACACAGCGAGATACATCATTGTGGGGACTTCTTATGACGCTCCAGAAGATAATCCAATAAAAGGGTCTATATTAGAAATATGTGAAATAGAAGTCTATGGTAATTGTTACTCATTTGCATTGAGTATTATTTTTTGTCTCTCTGTTCTTCTGTATTTTGTCTCGCTAGCTATTTTTGTTTTTCTTTTTAGATACTTTCTAAAAAAGATTGATCTTTTTTTTATGAATTTTAATATCATAATTTCCTTTGGGGTAAGAAAACTCGTTTTAGCGTGATATTGCAGTCATTCAAGTGTGTGCAAGAGGGTGAATGAGGGTATGTGTGGGAGGGTGTGTAAGGGTGTATATGAGGCTATATTTGTGTGTAAGACGGTTTGTGTGTGGGCTCAACTTTTTTATGAAAGTTTTGTTGAATTTTAACCATTATATATTATCTGCAGGTTGCGGCATAGGAAAATTTGGAGAGCTTTGCAAAAATTGTCAATGTTCTACTTGCAGTATCATTAATGGTTCATGTCGTAAGTGAAATAAATGGAATTTATTTTTGTTTTGATAAATATGATTCTTAAAAGTACTTAACACTATAAATCATTTTTAAAGTTAAACCTTTGAACAAAATTTACTTTTTTAAAGCTGTTGCATGTAGTGATAATTGTCGAGATACAACATGTAATCAATTCTCTGGATATTGCACTTATGGATGCAAAGAACTTTATTATGGACCCAAATGTGAGCATCCATGTAGTTTGCAATGTAATCCAAAGAATTGTGATCGAATTTCTGGTGCGTGCTCTGCATGCAAAAATGGCTATTACAGTTCATATTGTAATCAAACCTGCAGTCCATATTGTAAATATAACATTTGCGATTTCCATACTGGAGAATGCCATCATGGATGTAAATCGAATTGGACAGGAGACTTTTGTAACAGTAAGTGCTTACAGATCTTATGCCATTGATAAACTAGTAATATATTTTTAAGTTCGTTTTGCTTATAACAGTAGTATTGATATAATGTAATTAAATTTAACAGTGGTTCTATGAGAAAACCAGGCAGAATTGTAAAAAATCAATTTTTAAGGTATTTTTAAATGTCATTATTTCATTAAATATTGATAAGGTACACATCACTGATAATTAATAATGAGGTGAGAAAATTGATAGCTTGTTCTATTTATAGTAACAGGGCCGTCATTAAAACCAGGAAAACAAAGCATAAGAAAGGGCAAATAAAGGGGGAATTTCATTCAATTTCAATGCAGCATTAGACTCAAAAGCAATCATTTAAACATAAACTACTTATTTAATATAAAAATTCAAGATTATAATTTATGTTTGATAATAAAAGATTTCTTGTCAAACATGCAATGTTGCCATAGCAACCCGTCAAAAATGTCTCTTTTTACAGAAATATCGTTTCGGATGTAAAGGTACCATAAAAATCTTCATTTTAAACAGGGTTAAGACGCTTATTATTTTTAAATTCAAAATTAATTAAAAAGTTAAGTATGTTTGAATTCTCTATGCAATAGGAATTGTTTGGGTTTTGAGAAAATCTGTCGTTTTTTGAGTAGTTAATCAGTGTTAAATTATCAGAGAAATTTGGGTGAAAATTAACATAAACACAATAAACAAAAGACAAATGTTGCTTATTAACTGATTGTTATTTTTCATTAATGTTGATCTATAAATAAAAATAATTGTTCAAAATTAAATCAAACAATTAACAGGTTTAATTAATTAAAAATGCCTTTCATGAGACATAAACATGAAGTTTCAGCATAGTTATCTCCCTTTACGGTACTCTCTAGGGAATGAGACACATAAGGTACATGCATGAATATGGCAGCTTCCAGGCATGGTGAAATATTTGACTTTTCAAGGTCATGCACTTCTGTTGCATGTGGAGGACTTACAGAAAGTATATATTCATGTCGACAAAAAAAATATTGTCACACCTGGTGCATTGTCAAGCTGTCCCTAAACAACATCAAGTGACAATACCCGAGGGCGTTCTCTTGCTTTACCAAAGTTACAAAAGAGTATGTAAATTTCAAAATATGTCAAACGAGTCACAGAAATAGTCTTTGTACTTATTGGTACAAGACTCTAGGCGATGTTCACACCCGTTGCACCCACCAGACCAGAAGGAGAAACCAGACAGAGGAGTTAATTGCCCCGTTTCCAAAGAGATATGGCTACAAGAGAGGATACTTGTACCTGTTGGTAAGTGATATATATTGAACACTACAATAACATTATCTTATACATGTACATGGATACAATTTTGATTGGTCCTCAGATGATTTTTAAGAATTTCTGGTGTAATTTATGAGAGAATATTGATTCGATGTAGATTTACATATAATTTACATTCCGTATATATTTTGCTAAATAAAGTGGAGAGCTATGACATTCAAATTGACAAAGCTGCATACAAATAAAATTGATAGGAGAGTCTAAAGGATATTAATATGATTTTTATTATGAATCATATCACATCTAGGTGTAGTACACCATCGACTCGAGTAAGTTACTAGACTACAATGTGTACATTAAAAAATAAATATAATTCATAAGTGTCTTCAAAGCTCATGTGTACATATTGGATCTCAAAGAATCCTATGCACATGCACAATGATTTTCTTTTTAAGGTAGGGGTTATATTTTTTATTCAAAGAAAAATAAGTAACCTCAGGTGCCTGTGATCCCATTCAATTATGGATATCTGTTGAAATGCAAGAAAAATCTAACAGCTCTCATTAAATTGCAGGTTTATGAAGGAATCGTTCTGAAAGGCACAGAAAAAGTTACTCCACTAAAGTGGACATTGAGGATGATCATTGATGATAGGTTCAAGGTTGGTACATTGTATACATGTGATATTGCATAACCCACAAACAACACCTATTATATGAATGTCCAGGACACTAATAAAAACTCAAAGCCCATTCCCCCCTCCATCCAATCTGAGTATTTTTTTTTTATTAATAAGGAAATGCATGTTGTCTGCAATATTTTAAAAGATTAAGGCTTATCATTTCTCCGAGATTAACATCTTTTAGTTTAAGATTGAAAATTTATAAAGCAATGAATAAATGATCTTTCTATATTTTTACTGCACAAGTACAACAGAAAGCACTAATAAATTTTGAAGTTGGTCTTCAATGTGCTAAATTACACAACAACAAAACTACAGATGTACCTACCAAAAAAAAATCAGAGTACATAAACAGTTTTGTAAATGATTACTTCATTTATATCAAGGAATCTGTGGAAAGTTTTTAAAAGGGGCTTCATGTAATCATATAGGCAGTTAAATTACAACCCAATTAACACATCCCATATACTCTCTTTGTCCAAATACAAAAAAAAAAGAGAAATAAAACAGCCAATCAAACTCTATTTTAAACTATACATATGAATTAGTTCCTCTTGTAAAAGTGAGGTTGAAATCCTGTAGATTTTTATAAGTTGATCTGTGTTTTACTGTATCACTCTGAAGCCAGAATAGTGAGAATACTATTCCTAGTGATCAAATTATTTAGAAATAAAATCCCACTCGTGTATAAAAAGAGAAAATAAATTAAAATATAAATACAATATATAAAATGATAAATGTTCATTAAAGTATAAGAAGCTAGAGAAAGGGCTATAATTTTGAAAATAGATGACTTTTGTCTGCATTACTGACTATCACATTGTCATGTAAATGATGTAAATCATATTTTTTGTTATTTCAGCTGAATTTTTTAAGCTTAGTACTGAGGATATTGAAGAGAAAATAGAATGTGACAATGAACAGTGTCCAGCTGTTTCTCAACACACCTCTGGGGTGGAAGGTACATATCTAGTTTATTTTTACAAATTTGGTTTACTATAAGGTAAACTGTTGCTATCCGTATTCATCCATTGCTCTGCACCATATGTTGGTCATGTACTTTTGAATATTTTAAGCTTAATTTCTCTATGTAATGACTAAATTAAAATTCAAACTAATAAAATATCTGTTGGTAAATTAATTAGGATGGAAAGAGAAGTTAATGACAATTTGTCTTTTCATATCATGATATATTTTCATCCTTTTGTAGAAGCACAAATTTTAGTAGGGGTAAAACTTCATTGATTTGTCACCTAAAAAAAGTTTCCAGGCATTAAATTTTGTTTTTTTCCAAAGTAAAACTCAGTAGTACTGGTACCTATAACAACAAAATAAATGAAAATGAATATCCATTGAATATTTCTGCATTTACAGTTTATTGAACATTCTTTGACAAGAAATATGAAGTTCCTATGAAAAATAAAAACCTTTATTTCACCAAAACCCATAATGAGATTGAGAGCATATATTTTTATTAGAGTGGGGGTATTACTACTGAGCATTGACACACAGACTTCTTTTTTATGCACCCAGATCGGTAGATCTGAGGTGTATATTGTTTTTGTCCTGTCTGTTTGTCTGTTTATCTGTCTGTCTGTTGTTAACTTTAACCTTCACCATAACTTTTGAACCATGGGAGATAGAGACTTCATATTTGGCATGCTTACTTAATTAAGTTCTTTCAAATGACACCAAGGTCAATGACCTTGTGACCTTGACTGTGACATCTGCAAAAACATTTTTTTTAATTTTCTTGTTTCTGTGTTAAATGGTTAAAGGAATAAGTCAATGAAATTTGACAGCTATAGCTAACCTGGCTTTTTTGAAAATCAAGGTTTAAGTAGTTTATTGATTAAAAATTTTCTCTTCCCTTAAACAACTAAAGGGGGGTAACTTTTGGAATTTCCTGTCCAAAAACCACTCTAACGATTTTGTCCAAAATGTGCATACACACAGTAGATATAGTCATGTACTAAATATACAAAATAGCGAAAATTAAACGACAGGAATATTTTGGGGTAGGTGTGTTGTACATCGTTAAGAACCACAGTGTGTTAGGAAAGATGAAACTTATAGGGAAGCATCCTGGCCAGTGGGGTAGTGTAGATTCATATCTGTTCAAATCATGACCCCCAGGGCTGGGGCGAGGCCACGATCGATAATCAGTTTATACTTGTATGGGAAAAAATACTGAACTGATTTCTGCTTTTTTCCTAGCCACAGTGCCTAGGTGAACCATATGGCCCATGTGCCTCTTATGTTTTATATTCCATGGAAGTCAAAAATTGTCTTTGAAGTGTGATTATAGTCAGAATTATGTCGTCTTCAACATTTACAATATTTCTTATCAAAACTTATCTTTTTCAGAGCAATCCAGTCAGAATACAGAGTTTTGTCTGAGTCAGTCATCCTAAGGAACTGTGTGTGACTACTGGAGACGACCCACATACTATCGAGAAAAGCTAAACAGGAGTATGAAACTGTCTGATGGTAAATTCACGCCCTTACGCTTCACCCTGAATACATCATTAGATGAGGTACAGCAGTCTATAAAAGACTATGTGACACAGAAAGCCAATGAAGTTATTCAGTGTGCCTTTGAATGCATTGCACCTTGCAAGAAAATGCTTTAATGCACTTGTTATATAAAAAATATTACATGCTGGAGGAAAAAAGATAGAAACTGATGCATTTACAGAAGCCTTAAAAAGCATACGATCAGGATCATCAGGCTGATGGGCATCAGAGTCAAGTACAGATACTATCATTTTTTGAGAACAACTTTTCAAAAACTGAACTTTGTAAAATGTCGCATGGTTTAACAAAGTACAAAATAGATTGTGCTAGAAAATATGCATCAACTAATATTGTCCTGGCTACTTTTTTCATCCTTTGTTAAAACAGAACAGTGGAGCTACAGTCTCCTCAGAGACTACTGGTCTATCCACATGTACAGAAGTATTTTTACCAAAATGTTCAGTCATTGTACATACCATTTTTGAAGTGAAAATATTGATTTTTTAAATAGTAGCCTAATATAGTTTATAAAAGTATGAAACAAAGGGAAATAACTCTGTCGCAAAAAATCACAATTTTTTTTGAAAAATTCCTCAATTTCAAAATCGCACAGTGTCACCAATAATCAAAACCCGAATAATTGCCTGTAGGAAATTATTATTAAGTTCACAATCTTTATCTTAAAACAAAATAATTTAAAATCTAAGCGTCCAAACCCAGTTAAAAATATTTCCAATATCGACCCTTTTCCCACATTTTCAGTCTCTTTTATATCAAGAGTTATTCCCCCTGTGTTTAAATATAGCATTGATTTTTAAGACAAAAAAAATTGTGCAAAATGAAATAAATAATATATATTTTCTTTTGTTCTTACTTTTGATCACTCAATATTTTAATGAAAAAGAAGAGAATGGTGAATGAAAATAGCAATTTTTACAAAATTGTAAATACAAAATGATGATAAAGTTGGTGGCTTATGGAGTACCCCCTTGGTGGGCCCCAATATTGAAAATTTTCAGAAATTTTTTTTCTTGTGATTATATGCTATATTGTTGGAGTCTTTTTGGAAATTTTCATTAATGTGAGTGACACTTTATGTATGGTCCCCTGCCTGGTTTTCTCATAGACCCACAGTTAAATCGATGACATATTCACGATGTCAACGATTAAATCATGAACTGAGAAAATGATTCGACGACTGGTTTTTGATTTCACAATGCTCTGTTTTTAACGAAGAACCGAGCTACGTCATATGACATCATATCTAGTGAATAAGTTACCTCTGTTAGGTCTATTATTACGTCTTAATTAATTTCAATTTTAATTTTAATTTAATCGATTTTCTGGTGCTTGCACTGGATGTATAAATGGCTTCTAAGGTCCATTTTGTAATCAGACGTGCAGTCCACTTTGTAAAATTAATACTTGCGATTTCCATACTGGAGATTGTTATAATAAATGTAAATCAAACTGGACAGGAGACTTTTGTAACAGTAAGTTTGTGTAGGTTTCAGATAAATCGTACTGTAATAAGATGTTCACTTTCAAATTGTTGTATGAAAACATTGAAGCGATATTTTTAAAAACTGCAGATATAGTAATGATATTTGTGAAACCCCTTTTTAATGTCAGTTTATTTCTTGCCACAACAGGCACGTAGTATCAGGGGGGGGGGGGGGGGGGGCAGGGGGGGCCTGCCCCCCACTTTTTCTCCCGACATTACCTTTACTATAGAAAATGTATACTGAAAGGAAGGTTGCCCCCCCCCCCCACATTTCAGCACAGTGTAGTGTTATAAAGAAAATGTACCCCAAAAAGTTTGAATTGAAAGATAGTTGGTCATGAGAAAAGTTAGCCACCCCCCCCCCCCCCCCCCGAAATAGGATTTTCGAATTGGGGCAACTTTTAATATTTCGTTTATTTTTTTTTATTTTTTTTTTGCTTGTCAACTTTTTCAGGTAAGTAAAAAAAAATTTTCTCAGGTTGGCCCCCCCACTTTCAAAAACGATGCTACGTGCCTGCACAATGTCTGTTTATAATTGTTTTTCGATATTTTCTTTTTATATTAAATAAGTGTAATATTAACCAACCTAAGTATTATACATGAAAAACATACATGAATATTGATAACCACAGAATGCAATGATTCACACTTTGGCCGTAATTGTTCTGAGAAGTGCAGTATCAACTGCAAAGGACAGTTGTGCAATAATGTCACAAGAGCATGCACCAATGGGTGTGAAACGGGATTCTTCAAGGAGACTTGCAATGAACATTGTAACCCCGGTTGTTATAATGGATGCAACAGAGTAACAGGGTATTGTGATAATGGCTGCGTTGACGGAAAGTTTGGCACACATTGTCACGAAAATTGTGGATCAGGATGTCTTTCCAAGAGGTGTGCACGGATTAATGGAAACTGTAGTTGCGCAAATGGATGGAAAGGGGATACATGCACAGGTAAGAAATAGTTCTCAATGACTGCAATCAAATGTTTGTAAATAAATATATTATATAAATATTTCACTTGTCAGAATAAATTATTAAAAAAAAATTCATCTCTCTCATTTGTATACTTAATGTCAGATCTAGTAACAAAACATTGAATGCCTATTATGTATATTTCAGATCTAAAGAGCAGTGGCGCATTGGATCCTACTTCAGTCGGTCTTGGAGCAGGTGTTGGATCTTCTGTTGTTATTCTTGTTTTTGGTATTGTCTTCGCTATTGTAATATATAACAGGTAATGCTTGAATTTATTTGAAGGGGATAAAAAAATCGTATAAGTAAAGAGTTATCTCTTTAAATGTCAGAGTTTTTTTTTACGGCAATTTAAATAACATACTACATGTAAGTTGTTTTTTTCCTGGTTACTTGTCGTGTAAGTACATGTGTAAATAGCTTTACAAGTTAATTGAAATGGTTGTCATTTAAATAAGAATTTTTTTTAAATTGTGTCCGAATTAGCAAAAGTCGCATTTAGAATTTTTTTTACAAGATATATTGAATTGAATATGTAGCTAATAGTCACTGAGTAGTAGTTACTGAATATGACAGTTGGGTAAAGTTATTAGCTACTAGTAAAATAGTAACTGTAGCTTCCACTATTTGGCTTCTACTAACTGGCTAGTAGTAATTTGCTATATAAGAAGAGTGGATAAAGTTAGCTACTAGTAAAAAAGTAACTGTATCTACTACTATTTGGTTTCTAGTAACTGGCTAATAGTGATTTGCGATATAGGACGAGTGGGTAAAGTTAGCTACTACATGTAGTAACTGGCATAAGATGTGAATAAAGCTATTTGTAACTTGCTTCGGCATGTGAGTAAAACACTACCAGTACATCTGTAACTGACTTCTAAGATTGGTCGAAAGTACATGTAGTAGCCAGTAGATGTAACAAGTAGCTTACTTTGCCTATTTGTCGTAGTTACTTGCAAGTAGCTAATTGCTAAAAACTACTCTAATTCACTTCTTCTAATCATGTAGATATAGCGCTTAAGGACGCGATTGCACGGCGTCACGTTATCACGTCATTTGGTGAATAAAAAAGAATGTTTGCTGTAACTATTTCCGGAATAAGGAGCGTCATATGTTTGTGCTCATGACAAAAGGGCTTTATTTTTCTAAAGTAGAGAAAGTATAAGATATTAAAGATTGTTACAATGCACTGGGACTGGGACTGGGACTCTGAACATTGAAACCTATTTCATTAAAAATAAATTTGATTTATATTTTGAGGTTTATATCTTCATTTTAAAATTAGAATTTTATTTAAGATTGTTGTTTATCATAGGATCTACATCTATGTATAGATAATTCCCAATAAGAGATTCAGACGGCGTGATTTACTAGATACATGTATAAATATTGATGAACGAAGGCGATTTTGATAAACGTGTTACGACGAAGACCACTTATAAATGCCTCGAAGACATATCTTTTAAAAATATCGCAGAGGATTTTGTTTTCTCCTATAAGATCTTTAGCATTTTCAGCAGTGACATCGACCGTGTAAACATTCAATCATCGTCGCACATATATTGTAAACGATTGTTGTAAAATGTTTTATGCGTTGTATCGAAACACAACACACTTCTTCTGAAAGAATACCAGGGAAGATATATGTATATAAATAAATAAAAGAAACATGTGAACGCATCATGCTTATGGGAATACATTTGAAAAATGATTTTTTTTTTAATCACATGGACATGAACAGAGATGTCTCACTCCAGCATATATCATAAAGCGACGGAAAGTTATTTCAATCAATGATTATTTTTGAATCAAAATAAATCTATAGTTTTGACGTCAATTGTGTCATTATGACGTCACAATGGAGATAGCGCTCATGCATTTGCAGGAGAAAATAAAGTGTAGACATCTAATTACTTCAAAAGAATCGGAAGGAAAAGTTAAATCTATTTGTAAATGAATGTGAATATTTAGAATTATTATAATTTGGCCAATAAGATTATTTATGGATGAATATATTTATTTTAAAAAAAATATAATGCAGTTACAAGTTTTATAAAATAACCTCTTTTCTTTCAGTGTGTTCAAATGTCTGACACCCCCCCCCCCCCCCGATTCCAGGTCACTAAGAAGAAACATCGCTGAGTGTTCAAAGCATGAAGAATAAGGCCTTTGAGGACTGTGCACTGGTTTATATTATATTATTTATATATTCTGATATAGTAACAAAATGAATGTTTAGGAGATGAAAAACTGAGTTTGAAAAAAAAAAGAAGTTATTTTCGTGACCACTGTCGGTGATAAGTAAATCATTTTGCTTCACATATAAAATGAGCATCAGCTGCCAGATTTTCAGAGAAAAAGTATTTGTTTATCTATACATATGGCCTTTATTGTCTTTAAACAGATTATGCATATTTAAGGTCAAACAACAAACCATCATGTTAAAATCTGTTAATTCTTTTAATATTCTAGGAGGGGGGGGGGGTACGAAAATGCGTGTAGCTTCAAAATTAATCTGATAACCTTACTTCATATTTTAACCATAAGTCACTTGTAATGACTAGTACAGCACATATTAGTTTCGGGTAAATTCATTGGATAATTTTTTGTCTAGACGTTAATAACTGCTATTCAGGTGAAAATATTACTGCAAATTTACAATTAATTCTTCCCCAAAAAACAATGGCATTACTACATTTATCAATAGTTTCCGAAACAATTTTTATTTTCAATAAATATAAAGCATATTATTAAATATCTGCAGGACAATATTAAATTTGCTTTATTTTTGTTGCGTGTTTGGCATTATAAAACATTCACCTCATAAATATCAAAAGATTAAAAAATGGTGGTTACCATGGCAACCATAACTTCCTTATAAGCCTGATGACCATGCTTGATACTTTGATATAATGGTATTATTGACATTAGGAACATTATATGTAGAAATGAGAAAAATTCATTGGGCAGAACCTTTTCAGGGACCCGTGCAATCCTTTCCTTAACTAAAAGCTAACTTTACATATCTGCCTCAGCACACTACATGTATGTCAGATTTTATACGAATCAGTTTCACATTATATTCCGTAAATTGTACACCATTACATTCCCTTCACAGTAACGTTTCTTACTTTAAAATCATTTTTAGTGATTTTGTTTTTAAATCGAATTGTTATTTATCTCCCCTTCTTTCCAGGAGAAAAAGACTTGCTTACAAAAAGCAAAAAATACATTCAAAGGAAAACGGTAAAGTCAAAATTATATCCTTTTTATGTTCATTTATTCACAAAACCATAAATTAAATGTTTTATTCATAGGGACAATGCACTGCATATAATATTAATAGTATGTTTGTTTGTTGTTTAATACCTCTTTCGAGAATTTTTTCACTCGTTGTGAGGATGTATGGTCACATGAGTTTAATTACGTCATAATCTCTTATAAAATATGTACAAAACAGATTGAAACTACAGTATTTATAAAAAAGAAAGACTGTTTGTTTGATTTCAACATCTTTTATAAAATATTTAAAAACATTCACACTTTCTTGCAAATATTATCAGATTACGGAATAGGTTGATTCACTCTTCTATTTCCCTACACTGCGCGTCCAGCGAGTCGTTGACGTCATAGTTGATCTCTTAGTACTGTAAGATTATACACAGTAAAACACGGGTCGTATAATATCATAAAAACGGGTGATAATCAGTACATGGTGGGGTATTTTGTGAATTACAGAACACAAAAAATATTTTTCCATGGTTATTGACGGATATATTTTGTAGTTGTGTCTTATTTCGCTTATTTCGCAAATGTGTGACGTCATAGTTTGGTTTTTCCGTACTCGAAAAATGTAAATATGACACTTTTCTCATGCTTATGTCTTGTTTAATTGTACCCTGTACAATATTGAGCTCAGCTTTACCAATCGATATTTGTACAGTTTATCAATAACACGACGAACTTGCATTTCGACGTAAATTTTCAAATATTGAATGATGGGATTTTTTGCAAATATTTTTTTTTTGTTGTTTAAGTTGTCTAAGAAAAGTACATAACTTTCCGTCTCCAGATGCGGTGTGACAGAAAAATCTTGTTTTTTTTCGAATTTTTAACCATATTCATACTCTGAAATATTTTAAATGACACATCTTCGCTGACACATTTTTTATCTATGCTAAAAAAAATCAATTATCGACCGAGTAATGAGCCCAGAAACACGGAGAATCATAACTTCACTTAGACACTGCAGGGCTTCGTATTTGTCACTCAATACTCAATATCACAAAAGTAAGTCTAGAAACCTATTGATATATCTGTTTTAAGGTATGTGGGACATACTTAATAAGAGACATACAAAATATGAAAAAAAAATGAACGACAGGTATTTTTTCAGTTACGGAATGAAGCTAATTTCAACTTATGTTGTACGATATAACATATTTTGGGGCAGCTTACGTTTTTTTTAATCCGCCTCGCTTTCGCGTTTTATAAAGCGTAAACTGCCTCACATCAAGTTATATCGTATTCCTTAACAACATATGATCTCAACGAAATTCCTTCTATCCGTTAGTTACAGCCATATGCCTGTCAATCAGTTACTTCTGCAATCGCTTCATTCTCTTGAATTCATGTATATCTTTTAACATTATTGTTTTCATAATTCTACGTATTATTTTTGGATTGTTCTTTTGTAGATAACAAAAAAAACTGTTGTATTTAGAAGAGAGGATAACCAGAAGAACCTGCCACCAAATATATTGAGCGAAAAGAACACTTCAAAGAACACTGTAGATGTTTATGTAAATGAAATAAATAGGGGTTTTGAGAGTAAGACATACGATGGAATTTCTGAAGTTGATGATAAGTGTGGTGCAATGCAGAAAAATGAATACCTGTCGATCTCTGAAGCTATCCAAGATATGTCAATCTATGATCAACTACATCTTTGAACATAAACAACTATGCTTTTCTAAACTTTATTGTACATCTGTACTACAAATATTGATAATAACACATGTATGTGCATATCTAAATAATTAGTAACTATTGATTTGGCATATTGTGCAGTTTCGAAACCAAGAAGTAATCTCGTTGTTTTCTTGTTTATAAGGTAAAAATGAATGCAATACACAATCATAAACTAGAATCATCTTAAAGAATTAAAAGTAATCTATGAAACTTATCATTTTCCATTTTTCCATATTGTTTTTTTCCTTCAAATTAACAGATTAGTCCACCTTAGTAACACATTGACCAAGAACATTTTTTTTACATATTTTATGGAATGTATTTTGTAAGTATATAAAAGAAATAAATAAAAGCAGAACTCTTGTGAGGTTTTATCTAATTATATAAAGTTCTACCCTACAACAGTATAATGGGTATATAGAGATGTCACCATCTACCAAGAAAGAGCTACAGATTTATGTTTTGTACCCATGACAATTGAGAAGTAAAGGGGGTGTACTTTCGGGTCAAGCTGTACTGTGATAGGGGACCTCGGATGATTTTAGTCTTTATTTGAAAGACACATGACTTTACTTTCTCCGGGCCCTTGGTACAGGTATTAGTACTCCTATTATTGCGCCTTTTGTTTGAAGAGCGCGAATCGAACCCGGTCCTTAATAGCTGTAAAAATGTAGCCCGTTCAGGAAGTGAACGTCCTAGCATTAGTGGCTGGTTCATGAGTAGTTGATGCGCTATGCTTGTTGAGATGAAGACCCGGGAACTTTTTTCTGATGAAAAATGAAGATTTCAGACAAAACACACTTTAAGGCATTTCCATCCTCGTATGATATCATAAGCTTATGCAAAAACTGTTATTAATTTAAATCTATACCTAATAGACCTATATCTTTTAGAAGAATGTTTTTCAATAGGTAAGAAGATAAATATTGTTAAGAAAAAGAATTTTAAAGATATATATTTTCTTTACTTAATCAATTATTCAATCTTTAAAAATAACGACAAGGACAATAACTCATTCCAAGGCATCTTCATTCTTTGTTGTACTTCTAATGTAAAAGAGTTTCCCTGATATTTAAAATTCAAAAGTGACTTATAAAAAGCAAGCATTTTGGAAGTTTCAGCATCAGATTTATGCAATTTCAACCAGTTTTTACATGATTTTTATAAAACTGTTTACCAAACATTTACGATTTTTTATGTTGACATTTATCTCTGTTCATATATGACTCCCATCTTAAATAATATGGCAACCTATACCTTTTTGCAATAATTGGTAAAATTTGAACTACATTAAATGTAAATAAATGCAGTATTTGTACTTTGTACCATAAAAATTGTGAGGGTTGAAAGACCTTAAGCAATTCAAATGATGAGAAAACCAGCTCCTGTCTGTAATGTTTACATATGCTTTTCCCTGGCGATGGTCCCACCAGCTGTGTGCTCATTATTATTATTTGAAAAATGAAAAAAAAAATATAGACAGTTCATCTTGAAAATAATTCACAAAAATTCCTAAATGTATAAAAGGTTCATTTAAATAAAAAAAAAAATAAATACATTTTCGGTTCTTTTTGTGTTGAAAAAAAAATACTTAAATATCTGTTATTTCTCTGTTTACAGAGACACAATTTAAAAAAAAATAAAATATATGTATTTACTGCAGCAAAATATGTGTAATTATTGCAGAACATTACGAATTAACAAACCAGAAAATAAAAGCTAGATAAGTTTAAATTACTGTATAACAAATTTTTAAATGTCTTTCCTTCAATATATGCTTTAGATGTGTTGACAAGTGTGTGCAGGGTTATTTTGCCCCGTTTTATTTTCGCCATTTCAAACTCGAAATTATACTATATGCTATACATTTATTGACTGAGTTTGAGGGCAACATGCGTTTTGAGGGACCCAAGAACCAAATTGTCTGCCTGAGGCCGTTTAGCCGAAGACAGACATTTTAGTTCGAGGGTCGACAAAACGCATTTTGCCCGAGACTCCAGTCAATAAATGTTTTGTTATACCTTTCGTTTCAATTTTTTTTTGACAAATATGTTTTTTGTATTGTGCAACACTGTTGGACACCAAGGAATGAAAATGAGATTAAGCTCCGCCCATTCTGTGACGTAAGCGATCCAACATCTCATCGAGCGTTTCAACATCTCACATACCGGTCCAACATCGATTTTTTTATGTCCACTCAGCAAAACATTAGAAATGTTAGACTTTTTGTATAGATTTGTATAAGAACAAATTTTTAAGGTATCACAATATGAATTTGCCCATTTTTTATATTTCCCTGTATACGTAAAGTATGTCAAATACAATATTCAATTTTACAGGTAAAGAAATTCAATATTTCCCCTTCTTCCTTGATAAGTGTTCTATACATGTAATATTGAGAATCATTTAAGAAGGAAGTAAACCACCATCCACTGAAGAAAACATAAGTGGTAATGTATTGCAACTGTTTGACCACTGGTATTGAAAATATTAAATTACTCCCTCAAATGGTTCTAAGTCTGTCACATACTGGAATTGTTTCTGCATAACATTTCAATTTATTGATACATGTATGGTATGTTTTTTTCCTTGTCATGCTATGCTTGTTCGTCAGAAGTCAGATTTATTATACAATATATAGACATAAAAAAGGTTTCTTACATAAGAGGAATATATTTAAGAAATAAACAACGTTATTCAGTGAACATGGCGTTATGAATAGCAATTGCTCTGCTGGCATATTCTATGATGCGCGCTAGCGCATCATGGAAAATATGCCAGCAGAGCTATTGCTATTCATAATGCCATGTTCACTGAATAATCGTCGTTTATTACTTATATTTGCATTCTTTGATTTATTCAAAAATATCAGAGGAAATCCTGACTTACATAAGGACGCGGCTTCTTGTCTTCAGTAATGAAAAACATACGGCTTTAAAATCAGTACATCTGATCAGTGATACTTTTATCTAATAAATCACAAATAATTATGAAGTATTTCCCTCTCAAACACAGTTATCTGGATACAAGCAGCGCCGTCAACACATTCTCTTAATTTTTGTTTTGATGCAGTTGTGACGTCATCGATCAACGTTATTGAAACCCCTCTAACAAAAATCAACGATTTAACACTATGATGAAAAATGATAATGCTTTTACGAGGGTCGTTCAACAATAACACGGACTTGTTGCACAGAAAAAATATTTGACGACATAATCGGGCAAATTGTCACTCACAATATAAAAGAATCTTTACTTATATGGTCTTCAAAATTTCATATCAAAATGTTGTTAATTGGTATCAATTTTGAGTGACTTTTCATGATATATCATTAAGTCACGGAGCAGAAAAATCCTCGACGTCACAGGCACGATAAAAAAATATGTTATTGAGCATAATTTTCTCAACATTTTTCAAAGAGTACCTGTACATTTTGAGTTACCTTATCTACTCAACATCCAAACACTATTTCTTTTCAAACTTAAAAACTATTAAACAAGTAAAGAATATTCTTTTCTTATTTTAAAACCAAAAACTGCAGGTATTTATGAGATATAGCGTGGCATTGGTCACTCTCAATTACGTTACAGTCCGGATAAAGTTTTCGTCGGTAATCTTCTGCCCGTCCTCCCGTATAACCTTTTTACAGAGGTCTAACGGTCTAAAATTTCAATAAGCTATTTGTGGACGAATGTCACGAATACTCAAGTGTACTACGTACATGTTTTATTATGCATATTTTGGATCTATGTTGGCTATATCTCGAGAATTACACATAATTTAACAAAAGTGTGGTGCGCCGTCAATTCAGGAGACGTAATTTTTCACAGTCGTTTTCACGGGAATCGCATCAGAGAAAAAGCACTATATTTCTGTTAGTACACCAAATATCATGTCAGAAATCTAACTACATAATAATAGAACAATTCAAAGATACATTTGAGAAAATTGTCGAAAAATATCGCGAATTATAGAAAAATTAATGAGTTCAATTTTGGATTCCGCATGCTTTTGCTTCAAATTTTTGTCGTGCTCCGTACCTCTCCATCAGCGATATCAACATACAAATAATTTTAGTTGAATTTTTCTAAAATAGAAAAATTTTGCCCAAAATTTATTAAAATCTTTAAGATACATATTTCTGTTAAATTACATAACTATATGACGTCTATATGAGTAAATAATAGCACAGTCCGCGTAATTTTTGAACGGCCCTCGTATAATGATTATTACTCCAGAATGCTTTTCTACTTTTTTTTTAGTTCTTCTATTAATTTTTAATAGCTGAAATTATTCTTGAAGTTGATATACTAGTTATACTATTTTTCTGAATGCTATTACCCAAGTATGAAGAGTTATCGTTCTTTGAACAAATATGCATGATACAAAAAATAAAAATATGGCAGTTTTCTACAATTTTTAAAAAGTTTTATTATACAATTAAATACATTGACCAAATTTAAATTTTTAAAGAAATAAATCAGCAATTTTTATTATTCTGAATTTCTTTTTTCTCAAAGAATATGATGAAAAACTTATATTTATTTCTTTTACGAAAAGTTTCATATATATACTTCTCAACACGTTATATAACCATAGAAGAGATTGTTCTGCAGGAATTTGATAGAGCAATTGCTCTCATAGCAGAAGCAATTGCATCTATAGGCCTATAAACGCAATCGAAGACTACATGGTCATAGTGGGAGAGAGCAATGGATATGCAAATATAAAGCTACATTTTCTTTGGAATTAATAAATTGAATAAGAAAGAAATGGACTGGTATTTTGTTATCATTTACTAGCTAGTTTGCCAGAATTATTTCAAAATCATGTTATTGAAATATATAGTGCCTATGTAAAAACCGCTACAGTCTTCATTAACTGAAATGGTCATTGTTCTGAAGCCCGAAAATTTAACATCAATATCTAGTAAACACAAAGGTGGTTACGGTAATAAAGAGTGCACGTGACTTACAGACAAATTGAGAGGAGAGAAACAGATATATGTTGTTATCACCGACTCGAGTGTTAAATAGGTCGTTTATCATAAAATTCGATAATTCTTCCCTCATATAATGAGCTTTTATCAGTGGAGGGTTCTATATTTAGACTTGTAATCGCCACAGGTCACTTTAAAGGAACAGTTGCAATAATTTTATGTACTTATATCATAATCGAATAAGGCAAGTCATGGGATTGATGAACCCTCAATATTCCGATCATGGAGCAAGTGCTCTCGATTGAGCTACCATGACGGCGTACCAGCGTTAACAAGGCGGTACACTCTTAAAGTGTGTGTTTTACATAATAGAAATATTTCCTTTTACGTCCTGTTTAATTTCCTTATATCTGAAATGGCGATCATATACTTTTTGACTGTCATCTCAAGTTTTTTATTCATGCCCATCTTCTGTTATGGTATGTATAGAAATCATAAGTTCTTCTGTAATCACTTTTGATTTTTTACTGTTACAGTAACAGTGAGCGTAAATGGTCACTAATATTATGGTGAGACTTTCAATCTGTAATATATTTTGAGGGTGTTTTTTTTTTGTAATTGGTATCGAGATCTGGAGTTCATTTAACGGGCTCTTTCTGCATTTCCGTCAATCTAAATGAAGGCCATTATTTGAGAGCTATGTAATATTGAACTTATGCTATTATATCTTATTCATACTTAAGGACAGACGAGACGTTCCTTAATAATAGATAAAATTTTCCAAGATTTTGTCATTGAAGTATTGCTACTTAAACATGTTTACTCACAAAAATTTGAGGTACCTTACCTGGCATTTCTGCAAAATACCAGGGGTAGTTTTTCTTATAAAATCCTTTTGGGAGGAAAAATAATTATCCTATTTCAAATGTTTAAGTGGCTGGATTTTTTAAAGACGTTTAGAAACTGGTTTAGAAATCAGAATGTAATTAAAATTTTGATTATTTTTCATACATTACAAAGATATACAAAACAGATTTTGAGGAACGTCTCGTCTGTCCTTAATGCATTATTTTTACTTATTTAGTGTTTTGATAGTTTTCATTCTATTTGGAAATCAATTTGAACCGTAGATTCTTTTTTTTTTTTTTAAAAATCCCTTTCCTTTTCTAACCATTGTTGATTTATCCAATTACTAATATGTTTTTAAATGTACGTTTTAAGACTTGTATTGGCTCATGAAAGTACTGAACTTATATTTATACCATGTAAAAAGGTTATTTTTTGTTTCGAGGCGGTTCATTTCTGAAATAATTTACGTACCATTTTTCATTTGAGAATGAAGTATTACATAGATAGATAAAATATTACCAAGTGTCGGAGGAATCAAAAGTTTTATTACCGGTGCAAATAAGTGCAAGTCAAAATAAATGATTTTATGGATTTATAAAAGGCAAACGCTCTCGCTCTCTCTCTCTCTCTCTCTTCTCTCTCTCTCTCTCTCTCTCTCTCTCTCTATATATATATATATATATATATTTATACATATATTGACGAGTTGTTATTTTATTTTTGGAAAAAAAAAAATTCGAAATACAATCCCGTAGTTATATAAAGGTACTGGTCAATGGATAAAGTGGTGAGGAAAATGAAACAAACGGTAAAAAATGTCTGAAAGATATCCTTTTTATTAAACACGAAACATAAGAACTAGCATGCTCGGCAGTCACTGTACCTTTAGCTTAACTAAAGTATTTGGATAATCTCTTCATATGCTCTGATACGTCATCTGCCTTTTGATGGATAGTTAAGCTAAAATTAACATGTATATTAATCATGTTATTAAAAAAAATCTTATTATTTTTCGGCATGAAATACAGATAATTTAAGCAGAAGAAATACAACAAAAGTTTCGTTAAGCTCAGTATATGAGTCATGGAATGCAGCGCTCGCGAATGATGGTATAAGAACTCATACAGACTATAAGCTGTGTTCACACACTGCCTATGAATTCCAGGAAGCTTGGCTTCAAGTGGATCTTAAAGATTACTTCAGCTTGAAGTCTGTCAAAATATACTACAGAGACGAAAGTAAGTATGAGAAACATATCTATCGAATTGTTATTCATTGTAAGCTCAAAATATAATATTTTAGAGTTGCAAAAGTTTAGTTTTGTGTTTTACTGTAATACTGCTACAAAAGTATTCGTGAAAAAATGGCGACAAATATAAACAGATTTTTTTTCTCCGTAAGATCAATGTTCCACCTATTGCAAATCAATTGGTAATCAAGATTCATTTAAATAGGTCTTATATGATACTTTCCGTCATGAATTTTGTCATATTCCTGTCATCTGAACATTTCGAGAAAAGCCAACGTAAACAAAGAGGGGTCGAAAAGGGAAACAATTACAATTGAGTAGAAATGGAAGAAGCAGATGAAAAATCATGCAGTCAACAAATAATATCGTGTGACCTTGTGCAGTGGAAGATTGTCGATGCACACTGGAATAAAATCATTTTAGTGACAACTGTAAGGTCATTATCAGAAATGACAAACATGTGAGAGTGGGAAAAAAGTGGGTGAATACCTGCCTGATTGTGCTGTTGTATTTGCCAGCCATGAAAACGCAAAACTGACTTTGAATGATATTTTTGTTTGTACATGTATTACATATCTCGGTATCGGAAAAAAAAATGAGTTCTTGATGGAAATATAAATACAGAAAAATATTTTTCTGTATTATATGATTCATGGTAATTTAACAACCAAGCTCTATGATAAACGTGATGACTTTACTTTTCAATTGTCAACTTCCCTTACTTATGCAGCAATATACCTTCATGTATACGGAGTTAAAATATCTCAGTTGATATTTTTTGTACGTTGTATTGTTTTAAAGTGATTTTGATCTAGAATACTGTTCGTTGTCTCCAAATGTTTTATTGTAAAGGTCATGCATATTTCAACTGGAGCTTCAAAACATGAAATTTATCCTTATAAAATGCAAATTTTATTTAAAGCAGCAGTATTTTTCAGAAAGTACAAAGTATATTTAATAGACTATAACATTTTGTATTGAATTTGAATATGCCTTTGCGATATTGAAATTCGTGTATGACTTCTATGTAGTACACATTATATGCATACGTCTCGTGACTTTCAAATAAGGTGACCATACTTGATTCAATACAGGCGATTCCAAGCATCAATTTATTACTACCCACCACAATTACATTTATGGCTATACAAAGGGGACGTGATCTATTTTATACGGGAAATATGTAAACTGTACAATAGTATCAAGCTAGCATAACAGTTCCCCTTTATGCTAAAATAATACAGACCACTTCCTTATCTCAAACTGAAAAAAAGACAAATTATCGACCAGTTTTAATTGTTATTATCTAAAATAATGACTAAAAGGTTTCAAAGATCTACTTTTACATTCATTTTTAGCGAATTTTGCTGAAAAATAATCATAGAAGTTACATAATAAATGTAATTCTTGTATACCATTCAAATAAGAGAGAATACCTATATGGCAATTGAATGCACATCTTTTCCTCTGGTAGCTAGCTTTGACATCAGCGCTGAACTTTTGAAAGTCATTGATTCCATAAACAGACAACACATGACTGTAAAGTCCAAAAAAGTTAGCTGGCTGTATTTTGTGTACTCGGCTAAATGTAGTCATGTTTTTGAGGTTCATTTATCATAATAATTTAATTTTGTTGCCCATCTGCAGTTACATATATTAATGGGTCCTTTTATGTAATATGATTTTAGCAGGCTGGCCTCCTCGCCGGTTTCGTCAATTCTACCTAGATGTATCAAACTCGTCAGTAAATGTAACTTCAACATCACAAAGAGTACGCTGTTACAAGGACGAAACTGAAGAACCGGATGTACCTCAGTCTGTGATTGATATTCCTTGTAGACACGCAGCGAGATACATCATTGTGGGAACCTCTTATGACGCTCCAGAAGATAATCCAATAGAAGGGGCTATATTAGAAATATGTGAAATAGAAGTTTATGGTAATTGTTACTGTTTTGAATTGAATATTATGTTTTGTCTTTCCGTCCTTCTGTATTTGTCTCGCTAGCTATTTTTGTTTGTCTAAGACTTTCTTTTTTTGGATAATACAGCTGTATCTCAAAAAGATTGATTTTTTGCAATATCATAACTTCCTTTATGGTAAAAAATCCTTTTAGCGTGATATTGCAGCGATTTAAGTGAGGGTGTGTGAGGGGGGGGGGGTGAGGGAGAGAGAGAGGGTGAGTGTGAGAGTGTATGTAAGGGTGATTGGGTGTGTGTGGGTGTTCACAGGCATGAATTAAGGAAGCATATAAATCATTTCTAGGGAAATATATACTTTTTAAAGAAAATTAAGTTGAATAATGTAACAAATCCGCTGATAACTGTAAACTATTATAAACTTTTGCATAAAGATACAAGAGAGTCTAACGCAAAGGCGTGCATCACCATCCAGGGCATCACGTGACTTCTGTTAATAGCGTAATATTCCTTAATAAAAAGCTGAAAGAACAGCAATATCCCGAAGTTTAATAAAATTTTACTTTGAGTAAATAATATAGTCGAAAAACATATATTATGCCTATAAAGTGCTGCTAGAATCCCACTGTCCTGTTAGTTAATAAATATTCCACACATTCGCACGAAACCTCACCCGATGTTTTGAATTTTATACATATGAAACGAATTTTTTCGTAAAACCATGCTTAACTCGGGATTTTAGCAGCACTTTTCAAGTATTTTAGAAGACAATTTTTCCATCTGTGCAAATCTTATGTTTTGAAATATGCAGCTTATTGTTGTTCTGTTGCATTTTTTGTCACGAATGACAGAGGAAAGGCCGACCGGGATACATAAATAGCTGACTGTCTTCGAACGAGAATATAAACGATGAAAATGAATTAGCATACCTATTTAAATAACTGAACTCCAGATGAATTTCACGAAATATTTACGATATTTGCTTTTAAACTCTATTTTTCGTATCTTTTTACACACCATTTCAGCCAAATTCTCCTTACACGAAAAGATCCATTCCCAAATTACTTGATGAACACATGAGAGGTCATCGGTGGTAGATTTTAATCAAAATGACGGATACAGCAGAACAAAATTAAAACATTTTATTTTCCTTAATGTTTACACGTTTCTATTCATTTTCTAGGTTTAAATTACATCTCTAAATACCAATATTACGAAAACGTGTGTTCTAAAGTTGACTTCATCCCGCCTACTATGACTTCAAATGAATAACTGTTTTATCAAGGTAGAATATTCTGTATGCTTCCTTACTACCCCTGCGTACTTGTGTGAAAGACGGTTTTAGTGTGGGTTCAATTTTTTTAATGAAACATTTTGTTGAATATACACAATTATATATTATCTGCAGGTTGCGGCATAGGCAAATTTGGAGAGCTTTGCAAAAATTGTCAGTGTTCTACTTGCAGTATCATTAATGGTTCATGTCGTAAGTGAATCAAATGGAATTTATTCTTTTAATAAATGTGATTCTTGAAACTACTTAACACCATATATCATTCCTAAATTAAAACCTTTAAATAAAATTTACTTTTTTGAAGCTGTTTCATGTAGTGATAATTGTCGAAATACAACATGTACTTCGTTCTCTGGATATTGCACAAATGGATGCAAAGAACGTTATTATGGACCGAAATGTGAGCATCTGTGTAGTTCGCAATGCAATTCCCAGAGTTGTGATCAAGTTTCTGGTGAGTGTACTGCATGCAACAATGGCTATTATGGTCCATATTGTAATCAGACCTGCAGTCCATTTTGTGAATATAACATTTGTGATTTCCTTACTGGAGAATGTCAACATGGATGTAAATCGAACTGGACAGGAGACTTTTGTAACAGTAAGTGCTTACAGATCTTATGCCATTGATAAAGTAATAATATATTTTTAAGTTCATTTTGTGTATAACAGTAGTATTGATAAAATGTTATTAGATTAAAATCGACGACATATTCACGATGTCAACGGTTAAGTTATGAACAGAGAAAATGACTCGACGTCTGCTTTTAGATTTCACAATTGCCTGTTTTTAAGAACCAAGCTACGTCAGATGACATCATATCTAGTGAATAGGTAACCTCTATAAGGTCCATTATTACGTCTTTATTAATTTAATGTTACTTTATCCCGTACATTAAAGTAAAGTTTCAGTAAAATTGTAGAAAATAAGCATATTGAAATGCATGGAATTAAATTTAAATCATGCAAAAATACTTTTAATACCTTTACTTAACTTACATAGCTTTGGTTATTAAGCTACTTGTAAATGACTTTTTGAGTAATATATTTCTTGAATCAGGGAATCCCTTAAGCACCTTTAATTTACTAGATTTTGACAGTAAGTGGACAAATCCAACACTGTCTCATGTACTGAATTCACACAACTTATTGAGATAATGTGAAAGGATGCAGTTATTTTGAAGGAACGCAAAAATCCTAAGAAATCTTCTGTTGCCAACAAAAAGTATAATATCTTGGTGAAATATGTCTGAGTCGAAAACGTGGTAAAGATTATATGTTAAATGTGTGATGTCTATCATGAAATGATATGCATTGTTTTTTTCTATAATCATATTTATTTGATTTCATTTTTTTTTTCATTAAACATGCTTTTTTTTAATAGAAAGTATAATTTTTGATAAATATTCACACTGTAAATCTGTAATAACATGTTACCCTAAACAGTCATTTAATAACTAAATCTCGTGAAATTTCAAAAAAGTAAGGAAAAGTTGCATTCAATTTGGAAAATAACCTATCTCTCGTTAGTTTTTGGCGAAAACTTTTAATATCTTTTCGTTATAATTTTGGTATGTTCTTCGTCATATTTAAGACTAAAAATATTATGGCAAAGACTTCTGAAAATATGTACGAATTAAGGGTGAAATATTCACGCAAAAAATTAGTTCATTTCCCTATATGTGGATTTATCTTTTATGTCAATTGAACAAAAAAGAATTTATTCTTGAGAAATATTGCTTAGTTTTGTTCATTTATTAAGTCTATACACGATGTTAAAAGAAGTATTTTTTTGATTTTTTATATTCTATTCATGAGAAGAACCCCTAAAAATGACTGACAATGTGAAGATGCAGTTTGTGTATACCATTCAAAGCTTCACAGGCTGAACTACATTTAATAATGAGGAAAGATGCCTTGAAATTTTAATTGATTGATAAGGGAATGCTAATTTATCATTTTGAAAAGTTTGAAAATCTTGTAACAAAGACTTTTCCCACTTAGGTTTTACCTTAAAAGTATATATTATGTGTACTTTCAAAACATTTTTTCATAATTCAAAATCAAATATAAATCTTTTTTTATAGAATGTAATGGTTCACACTTTGGGCAGAATTGTTCTGAGAAGTGCAACATCAACTGCAAAGGACAGATGTGCAATAATATTACAGGAGCTTGTACTAATGGATGTGAAATGGGATACTTCAAGGAGACTTGCAATAAAAGTTGTAGCCCTTATTGTTTAAACGGCTGTGACAGTGTTTCAGGCTATTGTGATGATGGTTGTGTCGAAGGAAAGTTTGGCACGGAGTGTAACAAAAATTGTGGAATTGGTTGCCTTTCGAAGAGCTGTGCACGTATAAATGGGAACTGCACTTGCGCAGATGGATGGAAAGGGGATAAATGTACAGGTAAAATATACACATGTACATGTACATGTAGTATATAAACAGGTCATTTCTACATGGAATGAACGCAGTGCTTTTACAAAAGATATTACAATTATCAATTTTCAGATGAAATTGTTTGGTTTATTAATTTGTTGTAAAAATGGAATTTTCAAAATTAATTGTTCATAATCATCATCTCATTGATAAAAACTACATGTAAAATGTCATATATGGGCACAATCTTTGGCAATAGATTTATATGGTCCTTCCATATCTATAATTAAGAACTCAAACCTTTCTCGAAAAACTTTTAATATTCTACCTACGGAATCTTTTTCTCTTGATAAATTTATATCTTAAGAATGTTGTTCATAATTTTATGTTAAATCCTGCAAAATAAGATGTAGCGAGCATTCTAATAATTTGACATGTTTTGCCAACAATTGATCGTGTATTGGTGCGTGTTCTGGAGATTCCACAGATGACAAATACACAAATTGCACTGATTGAAAATTAATTACATGAAATTATAAATTATTAAAATGCTTAAATATTAATAACTGTCCAAAATACTCAAAGAATCATTTAGCCCTCGAATATGGATATATTTTTTCAGCAGTATTTATTCTGTAAAAAATAAAATTGCTTGAAAATATCAATTTTTTACAACCTACCAACCTCAAACTGTTTGATCAGGTGCTATGAGGAAAACATACCCTGAAGACAGATCATATTCCTTTTAATAAAAAACGAGAAAACGAGAGAAAAAATGCGCAGACAGATCAGCTTAACAATTTGTTAGCATCAACTGTGAGGAATAAAATCTTTATCGAAAAATGGATTTCAATACTTTTATTTTTATTTTAGATTTTATACGACAGAAACTAAAAAGTTTCATTAATAGTACAATGAAATCTCGGTTTTCTGAACTAATTTTCATAAATAATTAATTTTTCTAGTATTTTTTATAGATGATAGAAGAAAAAAAAACTCTGTCATTCATATGCTCGTAAATTTACTGTTGTATTTTAATATATATACATGCATGTATATATGGCTTCAGTATTTATAAACCTATTGATTAAAATCTGAATAACTTATAATATTATTTATATCTTCTAGAATTGCAGACTTCAGAAATTTATGAAAAAGACAGAAACGAATGAGGTCCCCCAGATATATTTTCTTGGTGCTGGAGGTGGTGGCGCTTTTCTCCTTTTCATAGTTGTGATAATCGTCATTATTGTGTGCAAGTATAAATATTCAATATCATATTTTTTTCATTCATGATTGCTAAAGATTGCTAAAGGAAAAAAAGTAGTTTTGTTCATTCACAAAGATATTAAATTACGATCATCATGGGTTTTAACATAGTTTAACAATAACTTC